CATGAACCCATTTATACAAACAACATTAGTATACTGCCTTCATGCATATTAATGTGGTCACATGAACCCATTTATACAAACAACATTAGTATACTGCCTTCATGCATATTAATGTGGTCACATGAACCCATTTATACAAACAACATTAGTATACTGCCTTCATGCATATTAATGTGGTCACATGAACCCATTTATACAAACAACATTAGTATACTACCTTCATGCATATTAATGAGTTCATGTGAACCCATTTATACAGTGTACATATCTGCATATTTTGCATAAATCCAACACCCCAAACAATAGAATTTAACCATCTGATAACAGTACAGACCCTAGAATATCTGGTCATCATATATGATCATGATTTCATTAAATATTTATAATTGTTATACCATAGCCAAATGAACCACCCTGATGACTGCTTGCAGTTATATTTTTAAATGCCGTATTTGCTCTTTTAGAAGCGCATCTGCTCAAATGTAAAAGACAGAGGCAAATTTACAGTAAAAATAAGACATATTTCAATGATTTTGCATGCAATAATACAATTTTGCTTTATGTGTATTTGAGATGTGCTTCTAATATAGTAAATACAGTATTCTTTGTTTGTTCTTCATGCCTTTGTGTTCTTAGCACATGCGAGAGGACTATGACTATAACGTCAGCTGTAAACAACATATAATTCAAATTTGAGTTGACAATTCCATGACTTTTGTCTTTTAATTATAATTAATTCAACTTTAAGTTAGCAAAAAAGAAAATGTACATGTAACATTTTCTTTAATAAATGTTCTGTTCTGTTCTGTTCTATTCTATTTCATTCTTCTCTACTCAAACCCAATCAAATCTAATAAAATCTAGTTCATCTAATCTAATACAATCTTACCTCATACAATTCAAATCCAATCCAATCTAATTTAAAACCAATCTCAGGGGTTTCACAAATGCACTTAATAGCAGGCCATCATTTTGTAACAGGCCAAAAAGCATTGCAGCGATAATGGCGAAAGCGGTCAAGAGGGCAGAGAGTTTAGGCTTATAGCAGGCCATATGGCCGGCGGCCAGCTCTTAATAAAACCCATGCTTGAATCTAATCTAATCTAGTCTAATCTAATGCATAGTGTTATTTTAATATTGTTGTCAGGTCACTTTTGTGAGTTTGCGTCTATTACTCCTACTGAGTGTCCTGAGGGTACTTACATGCCTTATGGCGAAGACACAAGTGGTGTAGTTCAAGGTACTCCAGCTGGTTACCAATTTGACTGTCTAGCATGTCCCGGTGGTCATACATGTCTGAATGCAACGGTTGTACCTACACCATGTGGTACTGGCTACTATACAAAAGCAGGTCAAACTGAGTGTAAAGTGTGTCTGATTGGGTAAGTTAGTATGTTGCCATAGTGATGACCAATTTTATATATTATATTTATATATATTGGTCCTGGATAAATATCACTGGTAGATGATATCAAGCACTTGTTTAATTTGTTTTGTGATGTATAATAATAAGGTTATTACAAAAATACCTCAAAGTATGCACTCAGACAGTATGCTGTCGCATCGTCCTCCGCTGCATGTTGGTCGATACTGTCGCTGTACTGTCTTCGTGCATACTTTGAGGTATCCTCGTAATAACCTTATATTATATTACTTACGTTGTAATAATACAAGATGTATCATGGTGCCACTATTAAGGTAGAGATGCAGTTTACCTGACAGGTATTTTAGTTAGTTAATTAGGCAACCAAGATGATCTCCCTTGTCCACAAAACTATATAGTATAGTATAGTATATTTGACACAAAAAAATGCATGAAAAATACATAATCTATGGCCAATATACTGTATATATAACATTACTTCATAAACAAACAAACAAATAACAAATAAACAAACACTGTAAAAATATAAAATAAATGTTAGAAAAAATGTTAAATATTAAAAGTTTAATTTTTGTTTTCTGTTAAAATATCATTGATGAATATATTTTCGGAAAGCTTATTTTATGAATTTTAAAATTTTGTAAGTATTTTTTTTTTATGGATAGTGTAGTTTGAAATATGCACAAAAATGTGTTTTTTTGGTCAAAAGTGATTTAAAAAAAATTAGCTTCCAAACCATGCCTCTGTTTCCTGTCAAAATTGGTTTACGGGTACATCTGTTTACTATGAAGAAAGTGCAGTCTTGAAAACTGTCTACCAGTTGTCTGTACAATTTTTGTAACACTGTTCAACCAAAAAAGAAAAGGTCAAAGCGTCTAGGAACTATGTTTTTTTAAAGTTCTGGCATGTGCACTAAAATAAAGCTCAGATAATTGCTAATTTGCATATTTTATAGTTAAGTGAAAATATATACTGATTTACACCGCCATTGGATTTAACAGAGTTCTACTAATGATTTTAATTTCAAATTTTCACAGAATACAGATGTTCATACAATGCCATAAAAAATAAAAAAAAGTAAAATTTGTCAAAATTTTCAAAATAAACTGCATCTCTACCTTAAGTTGAATTATTGTTTATGGACTAATATGGCTTTTGCAGCCAGAGGTTGTAAAGCAGAAGAGGATAGGCTTACAGGAGTACATTAGCTATACCACCTATGACAATAAAAGCTGTATCCAGTCCATAATTATGTTATCATATACCTTATAGGGTCCATTAAAATAAACACTAGTGTTTCATTTATCTGGATTTTATAAATCTTATTTTTACCATTTATTGAAACATTTATGTGTGGATTTATGTTCCTGGCATCACAATATTGTCTTTGTATTTTCAGGCATTATTGTGATAATACATCAACATCAGAAGATGATATGTTGACCAACATGAGATGCCCTGCAGGCAAGTTTTGTCTTGCAGGTTTAAACTCTGTATCTGAAGCCACTGACTGTACCCAGGCTCATTATTGTCCTGAAGGTATGTATGACAGATTTATATCTTTATCAAGATTGGTCCAACATTACTGAAAAATACACAAAAATGTTTCACTAACATTTCGGTTGGACAATCATATCAGTACCTCCATTGCAAGAAATAATGTATGCTCTGTTTGTTTGAAATTTGTTTTAGCCACTGTGGAAGAATTGAATTGTCCAGTTGGTACGTACAACGATGGTCTTAACTTAGGTGCCATTACAGAGTGTAAACCATGTGATGCTGGAAAGTATTGTCTAGAAGAAAGTATTAATCCAACTGGGTTTTGTAGTAAAGGATTCTACTGTCCTACCAACTTTACTAATCCATATGGGACTATTCCACCAACTATTGGATCGTATGGTCCAGAACATGTACGTATCCAGCAAGACTGAATTAGCCTCTGCTTCAAAATCCTATGTCGTTATCATAAGAATACTGTAAAAGGATGAATTATTCACTGGGTTTTAATTTTGCTTATTTCGCTGATTGGAAAATGCGCTAAATTAAAACCCAGTGAATATGTAAAATTTAGCATAGAACACATTATCTAAATGATAAAACCGTGAATTTAAAACCCACTGAATATGCCTGAAATGGTAAATCAAGGAAATTTAAACCCAGTGAATATGTAAAATTTAGCATAGAACACATTATCTAAATGATAAAACCGTGAATTTAAAACCCACTGAATATGCCTGAAATGGTAAATCAAGGAAATTTAAACCCAGTGAATATGTAAAATTTAGCATAGAACACATTATCTAAATGATAAAACCGTGAATTTAAAACCCACTGAATATGCCTGAAATGGAAAATAAGCAAAATTTAAACCCAGTGAAAATTAGTCATTTTACAGTATGTCAAATGCAGTACAGTGATTGTATCAGCCT